CGTAAAAAAGAAAAATGACTGATTTTATTTCTAATTTCCTGAATATTGGAGACGCCGCTCAAACATTGGCGAACAGTATCATGCAAGCCGCTAATACGACTCAAGAAACTGGTATTCAAATGCTTAACATGTTTAATAATACGTTGACTAACAATCGAGAAAAGCTGATTAACGATATTCAGACGATTTTGTCAGAAGTCGTGTCACAGATAAGTATCAAAGCGGAAGAAGATGCAAAAGAAATAATTTCAAATGCTGGTCAAACCTTGGCAAACACCGCTGAATTCGCTATTGGACGTGCTAAGAATGCTACCATTGCTGTTTTCAATGAAACACTTGAGAAGGTTCAAGATGATATGGTGACAGCTATAGACGACCTCATGACTAATGAATTAGTCGTAGCTATTGGCACATTTCTTTTTATCTTGTCATTGTTGATATTCGGTTATTTATTTTGGCGAATCCATGACGCTCTTGGCTTTTCCGTTAATAGCGTTAAGATTCTGATACAGATGATCTTAGTTCTCATTTATCCGCTTCTATGTGCAGTCTATGTCTTGACTCTAATATGGTTTATTAGACAATCGAAGAACAGGAAAATGCCAATCCATATTATTGGAACTTGCATTTTATTAATACCCAGTCTTTATTTGCTCTGTTACTTCACTTGTTTGAATAAAATACAATTGGCAAGCAAATGGACACATAAAATGATCAACAAGTGGTACACAAATAAGAAGCATACGTATAAAGATTCGAAGTCGTCGAGTAACACAAACACTAACTAAATAACCGTTGGTCAACTCCAAGACCAACATCAGTTGAACTTTTAGATTGTGAGTGCACATTACTAGACATATGGGGGTGACCAATTTTAACTGATACCCCAGTATTAATTTTGTCATTCACACAGTAGAAAAAACTGATTTTTGTAGCAGTTATACTAAATGTATAATGGGTGTGGGTGTGGGTATGGGTGTGGGTGTGGGTATGGGTGTGGGTGTGGGTATGGGTGTGGGTATGGGTGTGGATGTGAGGGGTGGGGTGTGGGTGGTGGGTGGTGGGTGTGGCTGTGGCTGGGTGTTGGTGGTTGTGGATGTGGGCTGGTGGCTGTGGGTGTGGCTGGGTGTGGCTGGGTGTGGGTGTGGATGTGGTGGCTGTGAGTGTGGGCGTGGGTGTGGGTGTGTGAAGGATGGTGGGTATTAATCTGTATTTCTGCATCCACACCCACACCCACAGACCCACCCACACCCATACCCACAGACCTACCCACACCCACAGCCACAGCCACAGCCGCATCCACACCCACACCCACAGACCCACCCACACCCATACCCACAGACCTACCCACACCCACAGCCACAGCCACACCCTGAACTGAATATGTTAGAAAGAATATGAATCAACTCAGTTTCGATGGTCGTTTGAAAGAGATATTCTATGCTTGCTACGAGGTTGTCAGAGGAAGTATCAAAGGTATTGACATTCAATTGAATATCGAGCATGATCGTGTCACAATAACAAACGTTAGCGTATGATTCTTTTTCTTATTCATAAGTCAATGTTTGAAAATGATAACATTCTCTTTCGTCCATGATTTTAAAACTTCGACACAATGGAGTGTATTTTTTTTAAATTATAGAAACTGAATAAACGTTTTTTAAATTTCTCGAATATTTTAAAATTATATTTGGTATCCATCTATTGTACGGATGAATTTAAGCAATGAACAATTCTTCGAAAATGAATATCAAATGCTTAAGTCGGTAAAAAAGAAAAAACATTTAGATAATGTTAAAATAATCGAAGAAGAAATTTGTAATAGAATTTGAGAAAAAAAATCTCTTTATTCAATTTTATTTAACTTCATCTCATAATCAATACTAGATAATTCCATTCGAAACAATTTTATCAATCAATCACTTACTTAAAACTATAACAAAAGCAATTAATACGATATAAATTTTCGAAAATGACTAACTGTGATCAATATCGAACTTGAGGGTGTGGGTGTGGGTGTAGGGTGGGTGTGGGTGTTCGTGAAACTCTTGTTAACCCACACCCACACCCACATCCACACCCACCACACCCACCCACACCCACACTCACACCCACCCACACCCACACCCACCCACACCCACACCCACCCACACCCACACCCACCCACACCCACACCCAAACTTTTATATTCTAGATTTTTTAAGCAAACCTCGTTTACTTTTTCATTCAGATAGAAATAAAACTACTTGCACTCTTATTCCTTTGTATTTTGGTCATAATTAAAACTAAACAATTGAAAAAACAAAATCATTGAAGAACCGGTTTTCGGAAAAAAATTCCGTCGTCAAAGGTTTAAAAAACTATTCGAAAATCGAAACCTTCACAATAAATGAATGTCTTTTTTTATGCAGAAATCAATTTAAAAAGTGAATCGCACATAAAGTATCGTAGGTAGCGGAGTAATAGACGAATTATTAATTGGAGTGTTCTAAGGTTTTTGCTTTTTACAACAGCATTGTCGAAGACGAAGCACCACCCATGCTGACCATTGCCCACACCATGTATTCATATAAAATTCAATCATATAAACTCTTGATGGAAAAACAAATATTAACCATGTGGTAATAAAAGGAATAACCTTGAGTGATCGCAGCATGAATTTTACAACATATTCTGCGAATGAAATATCACAATGATAGTAGCCTGTTATAGGATCACTACGATTGGCGATTATATTGTAAATTCCATAGCAGATAGTGTAAACTAAGGGTGGTATAAAAATGAATAAATGAGAGTATACTAATTTAACGAACGTCACTATGTAACACCGATTTTCCATACCGTATGTACGTATTCGACGTGCAAAAGCAATTAAAAACAAAATAGAAGCAACAAGATAAATGATGACGGGAATACCTATATGAAAGACAGTGAAGAAAACGCGTAAAACTTGCAAGCGCGGCATATCATTCCAGGCGCAATTGTAATAGACAATCGGTGTCGCACAACTTATACCCATAGCAAGAAAACCTATAGATACGATGATTGACCGTTTTCGTGTAATTTTCGATACATTCTTAGACAGAAGAACTAAACCACGTTCAAGTAGAATACTTGCACTAAACCATATACACAGAAAAACGGTTCCATGACAACTTACCATGCCAACAATACAATGGAATGTGTCACGTGCATCTCGGCTTCTCCTAAATATACTTTCATCATAGAGTACATAGCCGTCAGCCACAAGTAGAATACTGGCTAAAACGCATAATGTTGAATAAATAATTAGATATACTCCACTGTTCGTTTGACGTATTGCTTTAGTCCTGATGAATAGTTCAAGACATGCTATTATTGAATACCGAAATACAAAGTGCAATAATGTACAGAATGAAATTATGGTACGCATTGTTGTATTCATGTTGTTTACCATTATATGTTTCACAAAATATGCCTTGATGACATGGATCACATAGGCAAGTAGTTGTGTTCAACAAATAGTTCATTACACAGGTTCCATTGTTGAGACATTGTGAAGTATTGAAATGACAAAGATCCATCACAGTTTAATATACTACAACAAACAAACGAGATTAAAAAATTTTCAAAATTAAATCAATGGAATTACAAAAATATACATAAAAAGATATCAGAGCTTCATATCAATGATTTTTGATAGATGATTTTTCTTTCTGAATACGTATTCAAATATTTACTCATAACTTTTACTATACTAATTCGTACAAAGACCTAGATGTTTGTTTTAATAACCTACTCTTTTACATATCTTACTATCAGACTTTTTCGATAATTGAAGAAATATGTTTATTTGAAAATGAATCGCGACGTTCTACATCATTTATTTTTCAGTAGAAAGAGAAAGAATGTTTTCCAATCGACTAATTAATTAAAAATGTGATATCGCCCATCATAATGGATAATGATGATAGTCAGGTGTGCGCAATGATCAAGGGTAGACTCTTTCTTTTTTTCTCTCGCATTCGCTGAAAATAAAAAGCAATATGTGCTATGAATGCAATCAATGAATGTAAACAACTGTGATAAAATTAAACGCCAGTTGATTATTCTCCAACGGAAGTAAAAAGTAACTAGACTCCCAATAAAATCTGTGTACAAACCATTTCTTTACAAGAAATTCGAATTGAAATCGTGAGTATTCTAACTTTCATTATATTAGTATTGGTAATATCTAGGCAAATATCATATTCTCGTTTGCAAAAAATAAGGTAAATCTGCGTAAACAGCACAGGTGTCTGGTCTTGAGCTTGAATAAAAGGGAACAACAAGACTGTTTATTCTAAATTTTGAGATGAAACTTTGAACAAAAAAACGATTTCCACTGTCGTCTTGTATTTAGGCTATAAATTGTATTTTGGTTTTCTTGTACTCTGTTTCATACTTACTGTTATTTTCAAGCTTCAACTTCCGTTTTAGATAAATACAAATTTCTCTTCTACTACGCTAGTTTCTCTCTCAGTCGTAATTTCAAGCAGTTTAAATCTTTGACTGAAATGGTAGACATCACAGATTTTTCAAGTGACTCAATGAATGTCCGTATTTTGTCTCAAGACGAAGATCAAGCAAAGAACATTTGGAACTATTTGGTGGATATTGGAAAGCGACTGAAGACTTGGCTTTATCCGGTTCTTCCTGAGCAAAATATATCAACCGGAGAATTAGAAGAAACACTTGGGAAAAGTTTACAAAGAAAGTTGCATACAGCACAAAATTGTGATTTACATGATATTTTACGAGAAAAAGTTAAGATTGATTGGTCACAGTGGTATTTGTCGATTGAAAAACACGAGAAGGCTTTAGAGATAACGCAGAACTTTCTTAAGACTTTTGAACACCTAGAAGAATTTTCACCTATTGACGACCAAATAAATATAATTAAAGAGATATACTCACAATTTCCACTAGACGATCGCGATTGGGAACAGATTGGAGAAGAGCTAGAAAAGGCTAGTAGAACGATGGATCCAATATGTGTAATTACAGCCTACACTAAACATACCGAATTTACTAGACGACTAAATAGACATTCGGCTGTAAATGCATATCATTTTATACAATTGTACTGTACAATTCTGAATTGTCCAACTCTGCACCTTACAAAGAATTATGTTGATGCATTTACTTATATTTTATCTCATCCAAAGCTAGAAAAATATCGATTTAAAAAGGGTACTCTTTATCGTGGATGCGTTCTTGATGATGAAAGACCGATAGAAAAATTAGTAGAAAACGCTACGATATTAACAACAACATATTTATCTACGACTAAGAATCGAGCAGTAGCGGAAATGTTTGCTAAATCTGATAACAACACAAAAATATCAGTATTTTGCACATATAACATTAACAATACTAAAGGCCGATCAGCACTTAATATTCAGGAAATCTCTAGCTTTAAAGAAGAGGAAGAAGTTTTGCTCTTGCGTTATGCAGCATTTAGAGTAGTATCAAAGGAAATAAAAGAAAATGATCGAAGAATCGAAATATGTTTCGAAGAATGCTCAAACGAAGCATCAGAATCGAACAATCCAGAATTGGATAATTCCAATGCAATTCAAATGCAGGATATGGAAGCAACGTCTGGCACGATTCGTTTCGGTATTGTTATTCCTGATGAACGAAATACTGAATACTCTCGCCATGATGAAATTCACATGAACACTATCTGAAATCGTAAAGGTAAATTCAGAACTAATAGAAATCGGATCAATTTTAAAAAATGACTGGTATGAATTTATATCGAACATAACCTTTTTTGGTCGCAAGAGTTTTGCATTAAATAAATAATTGATTGATGTAATTTGTAAATTTTTTATCTCGTACATATGAAAAATTATTTACTTGTATGGAGATTAAATACAGATACTCAGTAGAATTGAAACATTCAAAAGTACTATGTATGGTATTGTCAATGAGCATTGAATTTAAAAGCTACTCTCAAAGGTAATAAAACTTTGCATATCATCAGTAGAACTAGTTATTTTTATATTTTGACGTTCGCGCTCATTTAATTCACTATTGATGAGTTCTGTCGGCTTTTGCTGATTTTCAACAAACAGTAAACATGGATTTGAGAAACGAAGTCATCGTAATTCTTGTATACAACACG